ATTGAAAAAACCTTAAAAAAAAAAAAAAAAAAAAAAAACTCCCGTATACTCCTACATCCAGTCGTCCAGGTCTTCATCTTTACAAAATTCCTCATATCTAGACAATATATATACTTTCTTCCTTCTTTTTTAAAGAATAATTTATTTTATTTATTGTTATATTATTATTTTAATTGGAACAGAAAGAGAGAGAAAGGGAAAGTAAAAAAGAGAGCCACCAAGTCTGGGACTCAAACCGCAGTTGGCCATATGGGAATCAAGCACCTTAACCACCATCCACCTGCCTGCCCCACTTTCTTCCTTCTTATGTAAGTGGTAACACAATACAGATTTCTGTATTTGCTTTTTTTTTTTTAAAGAATAATTTTACTTAACTTTATTTATTTTTTATTTAAATTGGACCAGAGAGGGACAGAGTGGGAGAGAGAGGGAAAGTGGTAAAGCAAGCCACCAGGTCTGGTACTTGAACCTCAATAAGCCAAATGAGAGTCTAGCACCCTTATCCACCATGCCACCTGCTGACCCCTCTGTACTTGCTTTAACAGTTAACATATTTTAGAAATTATTCCATTTAGTACATAAAAAGCTTTCTTCTGCTTTTTGTCAGCCACATATTATTCTGTTGTATAGATTACTGTAATGTGTTTAATTCTGTAATTATGTACAAATAATTCTGTACCAAGCTCGTCCTTATAAGAGTATGTCTGTAAGAAAATATTTAGAAAGTAATTGTTGGGGCTGGCTCGTAACATGGTGGTTAAGGCAGCTGGATTCTACATGGCTGACTACATAGTACAAGTTCTGGACCCAGTGGCTTGAAAAACATACCAGGACAAATGCTCCAAAATTCCAACAGGAAAAGGAAATGGAAGACAAGAAATTGCAACATGACCATCTCTGAGAGCGGGGGTGCTGGGGAGGGGACTTGCTTGTTTGCTTGGGCCCAAGGGTACATGCGTTTGTAATTTTAATAGCTTCTGCCAATATTTACTCGAATATATAAAAATTATACTTACTTACTAAAACCAAAGTTGACTGACTGATCGCTGATTATTTCAAATTGTACAGGGCGATCACCCATACAATATTTTCTTAATAACTCAAGACAGGTATGTAACGTTTTTCTTGAGGGTTTATTTTCATGAAAAAGATCACCACCTAATAAAATAAAATCCACCTAATCAACAGAAAATGAAATTAAAGTTAGTATGTATCACAGGTAAAGCATTTTTAAAAACTATACATGAAAAAAGCAGAAAAACAATCTCACAAACAACACTATTATACATGGTGATTCAACTTTTATATTTTATTTATTCAAAGGGCCTTCTAAACTGGTGACCGATTTGATTCCAATTTAGATTAGCAAGCCACCTTCCAAAAAGATGACTTCCAAAAAGTCATCTTCAAATTGCTACATCAATTGGAACCCCACATGACCAACCACGGTTTGAGTCCAGGACCTGACAGCTTGCTTTCTCACTTTCCTTCTCTCTCTCTCTCTCTCACTCTCACTCTGTCCCTCTGATCAAATGAAAATAAACAAAGTTAAATAAAAAAATAATTCTTTAAAAGAAAAAAAAAGATAGAGATGCCAAATTCAATCCAAATTATCACTCCATTCATTTGACAATTATTTATGACATTCCTACCAGTACTGGTAGCTAAGACAAAACAACCTGCAAAATAGACGATATCTCTGCCCTCATTAAATACTATGTGCAATATCCTATATTGGACCCTAAGGATATGATGTATCTCTATTCTAAATATGTCCAAACTTGAACAAAAGAGACATAAGTCAGACTAAATATAAGTCAGACTCTCCATAAGCATTCCTGTGCATGTCAAGCAACCAGCAGCAGAGTTGACATTGCAATGAATTCAGACTCAAGCAGAATGTTCTTCTGAGGATGGAAGCTGAGGAGTCGTAACATAGTGGCATTTGAGTTACATGATGAAGGAATTTTGAGGAAGAACATACCAGGAACAACCTCAGTAGAGGAGAGGAAGAAAAAAATAATATATATATATATGTATATATCCAACACATGCTACTGTTCTACTCAAGATGTACACAATCTACAAACTAGAAACTTAAGTTCTAATACATATAAAGAACACTGGAGTACAAGCACTGTGGCAACATGGTCAGGACAGGACAGCTTCAATAAAATTGGAGAATTTAAGTTAGGCCTTCAGGAATGAAGATGAATACAGGAAGAATATGACCACAGCCAAAGGCATGAAAAAAACAAAAACAATAGAATGAGGACAAAATATATTGAGGAGAATGAGAAACTGTTTAATGGGCATCACTTTTGCAAGATGAAAGCAGTCCCCCAAAATGGTTACAGTGCAATGTAGATATACTTAACACTACAAACTATACACTTAAAGATGGTTAAAATGGTGAATTTTATTATATCTACTTCCATACTAATTTTTAAAAAATATTTTTAAAAACTGGCTTGTGGCAGCTCCAGGAAACAGTAAAGAGGATACACCTCACTGCATGGTCCTACTGCCAAAAGTGCAAAAGCTGAATCTAATCATGAGAAAATTCCAGACAAATCAAATTTGAGGGGCATTCTACAAAATAACTAGCCTGTACTATTCAAAATACCAGGGTCAAGAAAGACAAAGGCAGGGAACCAGCAGTTAGCATAATGGCTATGTCGCTGGACTCCCATGTAGTCGACCGCGGTTCACGTCCAGGACCCGGTGGCTTAAAACTCACGCCAGGCGCATATGCATGTGTGCCCAAGATCCCGAGAGGAGAATGGAGGAGAAGGGACTGTGGTGTGACCATCCCCCCGGGGGGTGATTTCTCGCTTTCTGTCTCTATGTCTGTCTCTGTCTGTCTGGCGAGCGCACACACCCTATAGTGACAAACCTCTCCAAAAAAAAAAAAAGAAAGAGAGACAAAGGCAGATAAAGGAAATGTTCCAGATTAAAAGAGGTAAGAGAGGGGCTGGCAGGTGGCATGGTGGTTAAGGGTGCTGGACTCCCACATGGCCGACCTTGGTTCAAGTCCCGGACCTGGTGGCTTGCACTCTCTCTCTCTCTCTCTGTCTTCTCTTTCTATCTCTCTGGTCAAAATAGAAAAATAATGATAATAAATAAATAATCCTTAAAAAAAAAAAAAAAAAAGAGGTAGGAGATATGATAACTAAATGCCCCTGGATTGGGGTCAGGATGCGATCGACCTGCTCCCAAACCGCTAAAACAGACATTACTGGGACAACTGTCAATAATCTCGTTTTGATAATGTCTACTATGGCAATACATGCAATTTACTCTAAAATGGTTCAAGAAAAAAACTTGTGTGTATATGTGCATACGTGTATAAAGAAAAAGGAAACGAGTGTAATAAAATGTTGGAAAATTGGGATAAAGGATAAAGAATTCTTTGTACTATTCTTGCAACTTGTCTAAAAGACTGATGCTATTTCAGAATTCAAAAATGTTTAAACTTCTTTAAGTAATTAGGAGATAGAAATAAGACTGGTTACATGGGCCCACACAATAAAAGACCCAAAAGTCAAGGATTTATGTTTCAATAGTAAGTAATACTGGGCCAGTCCTATAGCCTGGTGGTTAAGAAAACCAGATCCCACATGGCCGAACACAATTCAAATCCCAGCCCTAGCAGCTTTTCCGGGAAATCCTGACAGGAAGGAGGAAGAGATGAAAGAGGACTGCAGGACCATGCTCCAGTCTAAACCAATCTCAATCAGAATTCATTACCTTCCCACATAAAGAAGTGTCTCTTCTCTATTTACCTATTTCTCTTATTGGTATTGCCACTCACTCAGATTCATCACCCTTCAGTCACTGTCATTCTCGTTTTCCTTATCCCCATCCCCTGTAATTAACCAAAGTACAGAAATTCTATCTTTTTAATGTTCCCTGCATTCTCTTCATCTTTTCCATCCCTAATGCCTTTAATTTTAAAAAAAAAAACCTCAAACCAATCTCTGATTCACACTATAATACCCTGATGTTAGATACTTTCTACTGGATATAAACTCCTCAGTCTGGCATTTAAAGCCCTACTTAAGGCAACTCAAACCCTCATTTCTAATCCTTCTGTATGCCTACTAATACAAATCAAAATGACTTGCTGGGCCCCCAACATATTTCAGTGTCTCTCATCTGTGGCCTTGCTTCTGCTTCATGTAGAATGTACACTCTCATGCCTTTTACTCATCAAAAGCCTACTTATATTCTGAGACCAGCAGATGGTGTAATGGTTACGTTGCTGGACTCCCACGTAGTCAACCATGGTTCAAGTCCCAGACCCGGAGGCTTAAAACTCACACTGGGCACATAAGCGTGCATGCCCAAAATCCTGAGAGGAGAATGGAAGAGAAGGGATTGCAGCATGGCTATCTCTCTGGGGGCTGATTTCTCCCTTTCTGTTTCTCTGGTAAGCACATGTACCCTATAGCAAAAATGTCTTAAAAAAAAGGGGGGGGGACGAGAGATGGTATAATGGTTATGTCATTGGACTCGCACGTAAGTCAACTATGGTTTGAGTCCTGGACCCAGTGGCTTAAAACTCATGCCAGGTGTGTGTGCATGCATGCCCAAAATCCCAAGAGGAGAATGGAGAAGGGACTGTGGCATGGCCATCCCTTCTAGGGAGCGATTTCTTGCTTTCTGTCTCTGTCTCCCAAGCAAGTACATGCACTCTATGGCAAAAAGCTCTGTCTTAAAAAAATGTCTAAAAAAGGCCTGCCTACCTATTCTCTAAAGCCCCAGTAAAATGCCACCTACTTCATATAGCTCATCTTGCTATCTTCATCTAGATGGAATTTCTTCCACATCTGAACCCCCAGGATATGCTGTTCTTATTTTCTTATGGCTTTTATTTTTATTCAGCTTATCTCATTCTGCTTTGCCACCTGCTCTGTGAAAGCAGAAACCATGATAAGTCATCAAGTTTTTGCTATAGGTGCATGTGCTTGCCGAGAGAGAGACAAAGAGGGAAAGTGAGAAATCACCCACAAGGGGGCATGGCCATACCACAATCTCCACTCCTCCATTCTCCTCTCAGGATTCCAGGCATGCACACACATGCACCTGGTGTAATTTCCAAGCAGCCAGGTCAGGACTCAAATCCTGGTTGCCAATGTAGGAATCTAGTGCCTTAACCAGCATGCCACCTCCTGGTCCCATCCTTACATTTCAAGAGAAATTGACAAAGGATCCTGCACTCAGGAAACACCCATAAATATATGTAAATTTTAACACACTTTGCAAAAGTAGCTTCTACTTGAATTAATTTTTTTTTTTTTGGAGAGGATTTTGCTATAGGGTACATATACTCGCCAGAAAGACAGAGAGAGATAGAGAGGCAGAAAGATAGAAATCACTCCCCAGGGGGGATGGCCATGCTGCAATCCCTTCTCCTCCAACCTCCTCTCGGGATCTTGGGCATGCACGCACACATGTCTGACATGAGTTTAAGCCACCAGGTATGGGACTCGAACCACAGTCGACTACATGGGAGTCCATTATGCCAACTGCTGGTCCCGCTTCTACTTGAATTTAAAGCTGCTTTGGGCTTTCAGTACACCGATATTTAACCAGGCAATTAGAGTGTATGAGCCAACAGACAAATCTCTAGCTTCAGAAGGGAAAAGAGCCAACGGACTAAGGGAATAGAGTAGAAATGGAACGGACATAAATCAAACTCACTTCATTTTCCTGAGCAAGTTTTAAAATTTCATCAAGTGTTACAAATGTATCATTTCCTCTGACAGCATCCTTCTCCATAAATCCAAGATGAATATCGGTTGCAACCAAGATTTTAAATGTATTTTCATCATCACTGTATTTAAAAAAAAAGGAGAAACATTTCAATATAATTCATTAAAAGGATATTCAAGTAAACTGAGGACTAAACTTATAGATAATAACAAGGAGAAACAGCTTTTCTTAGCCTTAAATTGGTCTGAAAATGTGAGGTATTCAACAGATCTTTAACAGCATATATAGTCTGTTAAAATTCAATACAGAATAAATTACATACATTTTTAAAGGTTCTATAACTGCATCAAAAGTTTATAACCTTGTGTGATTACACACATGTAACCAGGATATGAAATCTTACTTATTTTCCCATTCTGTTCCACAGCAAAAATCCAAGAGGCTTTGACATCTGATTTTACACTCTTCCAGGAAAATCAGTTAATTTAAAAGACCTTCCTCAAGACCAGCAGATGGCATAGTGGTTATGTTGCGGGACTCCCATGTAATCAACTGCAGTCTGAATCCAGACCTGGTGTTTAAAACTCATGCTGGGGAGGCTGGTAGGTGGCATGGTGGCTAAGGGCACTGGACTCCCACATGAAACTGCAGTTCGAGTCCCAGATATGGTGGCTTGCTTTCTCACTTTCCTTCTCTGGTCAAAAAATTAAATAAATAAAGTTAAATAAAATAATTATCATCATCACTCTAGATGCATGTGTGTGCATGCCCAAAATCCCAAGAGGAGAATGGAGAAGGGACTGCGATATGATCATCCCCTCTGGTGGATGCTTACAGTGCATCTGCAGAAAATTTCTCATTTTCTGTCTCTCTGTCTCTCTCTGTCTCTCCAGTGAGTGCACCCATTGTACAGCAAAAATTTTTCTTTCAAAAAAAAATTAAAAAGATCTTCCTCTAAGTTTATAAGTTGGTTTTATACTAGTATTCTAGTAACTTACCCTCAGACTCCTGACCTTACTAGCTAATGGCTTGACTCTATTCTATACAAAGCTAGTTTTTTATTGATTGACTTGGTCAAGTAACAAAACAGAACTATTTCAATTTAAATTAAACTTGGTAATATTCAAAAGTACTTCCATATGAAGCAACAATGTAAGAGTAGTTATTAATACTCTTACATTTAATGTAATTTCAGTTCTTTAAAATACTTTTATATCTAAAATCTCACCTCAACTCTCAAAGATAAAGAGGTAGGCAGTATTGTCTCTGAAAAATAAGGTGACTAAACATAGAGAAATGAACTGATTTATCACACAACTAATGGCAGAACCAGGACTAAAACTCAAGATGAAAACAGCCTATTTTTGCTAAACCATAATGAATTTAAAACAAAAGTTTGTATAACTTTATAGAAAAGATATTCACAGATATCCAGAGACCAGCAGTTGGCGTAATGGCTATGTCGCTGGACTCCCATGTAGTCAACCACAGTTTGAGTCCCAGACTAGGTGGCTTAAACTCATGCCGAGTGTGTGTGCATGCATGTACAGAAATACAAAGGACAATGGAGGAGAAGGGACTGCAGCGTGGCCATCCCCCCTGGGGGGTGATTTCTCACTTTCTGTCTCCATGTCTCTCTCTGTCTTTCTGGCAAGTGCCAGGTGGCCTATAGCAAAAACCTCTCCAAAAAAAGAAAGAAAGAAAGAAAAAATATTCACAGATATACCTTCAAAACTTCAAAAATACATACAGTTCTGATAATCATACACAAACATGTCAAATACTTTTCTGATCACATTGCCACATGCTTCCATAGCTATTTCACATGAATTATCTCATTTAAATTTCAAACTTTACCTGAGAAAAGTATTATTTTCCAGTTATACAAATGAATAAATAGAGCCAAGTCTCAGAGAATTGCTGACCTGCCCTTGGTCACACACTAGTATTAACTCAGGACTTGAAACCCAGGGTAAAAGACTGTAAGTATGAAGCTTTTTCTCTGTAACTTCTATAATCCTTTCATTTATTTCCATTTTACCCATATTCATTTCCAATGTATTCAATACTAAAATGATTTATTCTTTTTTAAAAATTATTAATTCAATTTTATTTATCATTATTTTAAAACTTGCTACAGGGCACACACACTCAACAGAGAAAGACAGTGTGTGTGGTGGAGAGAACAAGCAGCCAGGTCTAGGATTCAAACCATGGTCGGCTATGTGGGAGTCCAGGGCCTTAACCATCGTGGTACCTGCCAGCCTCAGAACAATTTATTCTTTTTTGGGGGGAGAAGTGTTTTTGTTTTTTGTGGGTTTTTTTGCTATAGGATGCATGCACTTGCCAGAAAGACAGAAACAGAGAGACAGAAAGTGAGAAATCACCCCTCCAAGGGGGATGGCTACACTCTAATCCCTTCTCCATTCTCCTTTTGGGATCTTGGGCATGCAAGCACACATGTCCGGTGTGAGTTTAAGTCACCTGGTCTGGGACTCTAACCGCAGTCAACTACATGGGAATCCAGTGACATAGCCATTACACCAACTGCTGGTCCCCAGAACAATTTATTCTTAATCTCATTCATTTCCAGCTTATTCAATAATAAATTCTTAAAAATCAGTCTAAAGGCCAGCAGGTAGTATGGTCATTAAGGCAATCAAATCTCACATGGATGATTACAGCTTAAATTCTAGACTGGCGGCTTGAAAATCATCCCAAGTGTCTGTGTGTGCATGCCCCAAATTCCAGGAGAATAGAGAAGGGACTTTGGTGTGGCCATTCCTTCAGGTGAGGGGGAGTGATTTTTTTTTTTTTTGAGAGATTTTCACTGTAGGGCGCGTGCACTCGCCAGACAGACAGAGAGAGACATAGAGACAGAAAGCGAGAAATCACCCCCCAGGGGGGATGGTCACGCCGCAATCCCTTCTCCTCCATTCTCCTCTCGGGATCTTGGGCACGCATGCACATGCGCCCGGCGTTGAGTTTTAAGCCACCGGGTCCGGGACACGAACCGCGGTCGACTACATGGGAGTCCAGCGACATAGCCATTACGCTAACTGCTGGTTCCCGGGGGGAGGGGTGTGTGTGTGTGATTTTTTCACTCTTCCTCTTTCAGTCTCTCTGGCAAACACACATGCCCTATGGCAAAAACCTTAAAAAAAAAAAAATAAAAAAGTTTAAATAGAACCACACTAAATTCAAGAAGATTTACAGCTTTATAAGACAAAATCCACAAACATAAACTTACACAATACAGCAATAAACCAAATCACCACAGCACTCTATACTGCATATTATCTTTCAGTTACTAAACACACATTATGCATTTTTTAACATCCAAACATTCTTTTTGATGACTAATACTTCTGTACACAGGCAAGTTCTTTATTTTCTGTTAATCTGTTAAATACAGTTTCTTTTATGATGATCACCATTGATGGGCTTTAGAAACCTAAAGGAGGGGTCAGCAGGTGGTATAGTGGTTAAAGGTGCTGGATTTCCACATGGCTGACTGCAGGTAGAGTCCCAGATGTGGTGGCTTGCTTCCCCTCTCTCTCTCTCTCTCTCTCTGGTCAAACCGAAATAAACAAATGAATAAACACATAAAGTTAAATAATTCTTTAAAAAAAAAAAAAAGAAAAAGAAAACTAAAGGAACAAAGCATTCCAGCAGTCCCCTACTTACAGTGCATCTGAAGGACTCATTTTTATCCTCAGTCCAGCTCCTTTGGGTCCTGGTTCCTGTCCAAGTATCCCTGGGTCCTGTGTTCAGGTACGTCAGAAAATTCACTTGATTCCAAACTCTGAAACAAAATTATATCACAAAGCACATGTTTAAAAAGCTGCACATAATTAACCAATGTGACTTAAACTGTATAGTGTATGTGCTTCTTAAATAAGCAGACGGGCAATTTTGGAAAAGCCATATGTACATAAATACCTATCATACCTTAAAAAATGTTTTATAATGAGCTAAGTGTCATTCTAGTTTCATCTTTATGATTAAACTTATCTAGCTTCCTTTTCCACGCTGTTGTAGAAAACTAATGTATAAGAGGTGGGGGTGAGCTTTCAAAACGTTCATGGAAAATGGGTATGAAAAAACTATGCATGGATTTCACAAATGTTTGCATCAAAAGAAACTTGTCACTTAATTCCATTTTCCTAACTTTTTATAGTCCCCTCATACGTGAAATAAATAGTGAAGGGAACAGCAGGTGGCGTGGTGATTAGGGTGCTGGACACTCCCACATGACTGATCATGGTTTGAGTCCCGGACCTGGTAGCCTGCTTTCTCACTTTCTCTCTCTCTCTCTCTGGTCAAATTAAATCAATGAATAAATAAAATTTAAAAAATAATTATTTAAAAAGTAGGAAGTTGAAGCTAACATTATAAAAAATAAAATAAATAGTAAATACACAACTCTGGATGTGCAGATGTCTAGGTGGCATGCCTTGGCTCCTCCACAGCATAAGGGCAACCCCGTATTTTCTGCTCAAACACTGAGCTTTCTTAAACAATGGGTTTGCTTTGTAGGGGGTGGGGTAACAGGGAGGTGACATTAAAATACAGTGTAAACAAACAGGTGGTCTCTGGGGAACACCTTTAGACACCAAACCAACGATTGAATTTGGCCAATGTATTTGGGAAGCGGCTGCCACCCAAAAGCAGCCCTGCCAGGTGCAGAATTCCAGATTCCGTCTGGAGTCCAGGCCTCCACACGGCCCGCAGGGAGGACTCTAAAGTGAGAACGCCGAGCCCTCCAAAACCCCAGCCCAACTGACTTGGCCCGTTCGTCCCAGTTCGCTCTGGGCTTCCTCCCGGGAACCTGAAGAAATAGGAGGCGGAAATGGCTCCTAAATTACCCCACGCCTGGACTCTTCAGAGCCCCACCACCAGGACCCGAGGCTGTCTTCTACCCGGGAAGAAGGAGCGGGACTCGCGCCAGGAAAACCGAACAGCAGTGAGCAAGCCAGCTCCGGGGAAACGCACGGCCACGAAGCCGAATTAGGCGCGGGAGAACGGATTCTGTGTCTCTCGCGAGACCTCACCGATGACGTAACGCGGCAAGTTCTCTTCGGCTCTCATTGGCTGCCGAGTGCCGTGAGGGGCAGGGAAAGCCGTAGCGAGGCCCCGCCCCCGTGCGGGAGCGAATCGTGAGCAGCGCTGGAGACGAACCCGGAAGCCAGGCTAGCGGTGGAGAGTGTCCCCTTCGAAAGGTGGGTATTGCGTTCCGATCCGGATCTACACTCTCGGGTCGCCTGGCGCCACCTGAGATCTCCCGCGCCGGTAGGGGCGGGTCACCTGTCAGTCCGCGCCTGGCCCTGCTGGTCGGATTTTAGGTAGACCTGAAGCCCTTCTTTGCCCCTAGATGTTTTGAAGGCCGCAGTCGCGACACGGACCCCGTGAGTGACCAGCCGGTGTCGCACAGCCGGGTCGAGCGATCCTCTTCCTCCCTGACACTCGCCAGACCTAGTTTATGGATCTTTATTCCCTGCTTCCTTTATCTTCGCTCTGGGTCCCCGGGTGCAACACCTCCCTATTATTTTGTCCTGAGGATCCTAAACTACATTGCAGTGCAAAATAATGTGGAATTTTTCCACTTGGAGTTCTTACCTTTCAGTTCCATTTGCGGTCCTTGATGTAGGGCAAGTTATTTTAATCTGTCTGAACCTCAGTGCCTTCTGTAATGGGATTTATAGGCCTTCCTGTCACTGTGCTGATTGTGAAGAATTGACTTAGTTACTCTCTCTCAAAGTGGAATGTGCCTTTTAAGTTAGGAAACATACCCTCCCTCTTCCTGACTGAATATAAAAAATCTTGAGCGACTTTTTTTTCCCCAGCTGAATCAGGAGATGCACTTGAGTCTGACTCCTATTAAATCTACCTAAAAACAAGGTTTGTATATAACTTGTTGCATCTGTATGAAACTATTTTGTAAATTGATCATTTATGAAAAGAGACTTTTTTAATAAAAAGGAAAGGCATGGTGGGGGAGAGAGGAAAGATCTATGCTACAGTGTTGCTGTATTCGATACAATTACAAGTGGACTTTATTGGCATCTGTTAAGTGTTTAGTGAATTAATGTATAATCACTTTTGTGTTGCAAGGTTTAGGAAATAGTTTGAGAGTAATGGAAAAAGTAGAAACTGAAAGAGAACTATAAAAATAAAACACAAAAGTGGAGTCTCCCAATGTGGGAGACCAGCCTTAGAAATCCTTTAGTACAATCTTTACATATTACAATCAAGTATTAGGCCCAGGGAAGTAATTAGTCCTGACAGATTTAAACTTGAATTTGGTGCTTTGCTACTATTAAACTTGTGAAATTACATAGAAAGAACCACAACTTAGGGGTATGACTAACTCTAGATGTTCTCAGAATCCACTGCAGGGAAAATCAAGTGAGAGGGCTTTAATTGAATTTGATGCTACAGATATTTCATAAGGCCTGCTGTGTACAAGTAGACCATAAATATAAGTTAAATATTGTATCCTTAAATGTTTAATCTTTTAAAGGGCTAAAACAAGAATGAATTAATGGTGCAATAAGACAAAATACAGCAAAAAAAATGTAGAAATTACAGAGAGAGCTAATTGGGAGAATGAAAGAAGTAACATCTGAGAAGAACCTTGAAAAAAGGTTTCATAAATATAGTTGGGAGACTGAGAAATGGTCTTTTTAAAATATATACTTGTTAAGTGTATTTTTCTGTAATTGATTAAGGCTCTCTGCTTTGAAACTATATAAGCCGATATTGGTTTATAAATTAACATGGCAGCCTAGCAGAATAAACATAGCTTCTTTCAGGAAGCCATGTTATTTGTATATGTTTGCAGAACTGTTATCTATGTTGTTAAAGCTTCAGTTACTCTTTTGCTAATAATCTTTATATTTGTGTTTTCAGATCTTGGTGAATAAAATAAACAGACATAATTCATCTCAAAAAAGATTATTTGTACCCTGGCATTTGAAATGCTTTTCATTTAGAATAGTAAATAATGGAAAAAGAAAAAGTAAATGATGATGGAAAACCAGACCCAGAGAATTCCCTAGACTTTTCTGAACACTTTAACCAACTTGAATTGCTGGAAACACATGGACACCTTATTCCCACTGGTACTCAAAGTCTCTGGGTAGGCAATTCTGATGAAGACGAGGAGCAAGATGAGAAAAATGAAGAGTGGTATCAATTGCAAGAAAAAAAAATGGAAAAAGATCCAAGCAAATTGCTTCTATGGGCTGCTGAAAAAAATCGGGTAAAAAAGAAAACAATAAAACAAAAGCAGTTAAAGAGAAAACCATAATTTTGTAGGAAGAACATTAAGTTTGGGGCCAGGAGGTCTGCCCCTGAACCTCTATTTGGTATATAATTTTAGGCAAATCCTATCATTTCTGGGAGCCTTTATTTTCTTACCTGTAAAAACAGCCATCCTAATACATACTTCTTTTATACAGGGTGCTGGGGGTCATATGAGCAATCTACATGAAAGCAAGTAGTAAGTTACAAAGTATTAAGTTAGGTATTATTTGAGGACTTAAGGATAATTAACCATTTTTATATTAAATCATTAGGCTCACCCTAGAGATAAGTATCATTTGGGAAAAGGAAAGAGGAAATTGCCATTTATTAAAACCAACTATAGGGGCCGGCAGGTGGCGTTGGTGAATAAGGGTGCTGGACTCCAATATGGCCAACTGCAGTCCTGGACCTGGTGGCTTGCTTTCTCACTTTCTTTCTGTCTCTCTCTCTGTCCCTCTCTGGCCAAATTAAAAATAAATAAATAAATAAATAAATAAAGCTAAATGAAAAAATAATTCTTAAAAAAAATTAAAATAAAAAATACCAGCTATACCAGGTACCTGACTATGTTATGTTATTTCAGCCTCACATGTCCCTGCAAGACAGGAAATATCAATAGTGTTCTCTTTTACAGACTGATATTTAAGAATATCTGTATCAAGTCATTCAGTATTTAAATATTGATTCAATTTAACATTTATCAATATTAAGATCAGATTAACATCCAGATTACTAATTTGCCCAGAATCATCCAAATACAATTAACATCAAAAGTCTGTCCTTTCCACTTGAGAACTTCCACCTCATTTTATAACATTCCCCTATATCTATGTCAGTAAATTGATAATTAAAAGAAACTTGCATTTTTAGGTAGCATTTTAACTCAAGCATACCACAGTCCACCAGAGGTCTGTAGAATAAACTGAAAATCACTTCTAAGTGTATTTAGAAAGGCTTGAGCTCATTAATCCCTAGGTTTCTTTTTTTTTTTTTTACCATTGTACTGTTTTTAAAAAGTTTTCTTTTTGAAAAGTTTTATATAGTATTTATATCAGTGTATAATTCTGCTATAAACAAATCAATTTTCTATCACAGATAAAATATAAAGTATTGTTACAACCTATATCCAGTCCTGTTAATGCAATCTATTCAGGGACCAGCAGTTAGCATAATGGCTATGTCACTAGACTCCCATGTAGTTGACTGCAGTTCGAGTCCTGGACCTGGTGGCTTAAACTCATGTGGGGTGCGTGTGTGTGCGTTTCCAAGATCCTGAGAGGAGAATGAAGGAGAAGGGATTGCGGTGTGGCCATCTCCCCTGGGGGGGGGGGGATTTCTCGCTTTCTGTCTGTCTTTCTGGCGAGCACACGTGCTCTATAGCAAAAACCTCTAAAAAAAAAATAATAAAATACAACCTATTCAGCTAGGACTAAGACTTTGTATAGTAAGTCTTCATTGGACCAGGAGTAAATGTATAGATTGAAAGCCAGAGAATATCATACTGTTTCTCCTAAGAAATAGGAGAAATAAGTTAATACTAACTTGTCTATCTCCCCACCACCCCAAAAAATCTTAAATGCATCAGTTTTAACAAATAAGTTTGAATTTAATTACATGTAACATTAGTATACGGTTTTACATTTTTTTCTTTTTCGTTTTGGATTTTAGTTGGGTTTTCAAAAGTCCTTTTTTCTTCTCAGCTGACTACTGTACGGAGACTGCTTTCTGAAAAGGCCGCTCAGGTGAACACCCGGGATGAGGACGAGTACACTCCTCTCCATCGGGCCGCCTACAGTGGACACCTAGACGTTGTTCGTGAGCTCATTGCACACGGGGCAGATGTCCACGCAGTGACTGTGGATGGCTGGACACCCCTGCATAGTGCTTGCAAGTGGAACAACACCAGAGTGGCTTCTTTCTTACTTCAGCATGATGCAGATATCAATGCCCAAACAAAAGGCCTTTTGACCCCATTGCATCTTGCTGCTGGGAACAGAGACAGCAAAGATACCCTAGAACTTCTCCTGATGAATCGTTATATTAAACCAGGTCTGAAAAACAGCTTGGAAGAAACTGCATTGGATATCGCCAGAAGAGCCAGTATTTATCACTACCTCTTTGAAATTGTAGAAGGCTGTACAAATTCTTCACCTCAGCCTTAACCGTTCTAGTAATTTTATGAAATTTCTAAGTACTAGTGCCTCCTTTGTGTGAGATGTAAATATTCCCATAATATACAGTTGACATCGAAATGTCTTACACAAAAATTTCATGGTACTCCTTGTAATACTGTTCTAGGCAAATTGCCTGCCCTTGATGTCAAAGTGTATTTGAAAATTATTTGGATATATTGTTGATGATTTCTGTGAAGTTTGCGTTTTCTATCAGAAAAAATATCAACTCAACCTATACTTAAAAACTTGACACAGGTTGTGCAGAAACTAAAGTTATTTTTGGTGCTGACCCAAGAGAAATGTATTTTTAAATATCCCATATCCTGAGTCTTTGTTGAGTATTTAATATAGTGACATGTATTTTTATAAGAGGACATAACAGAATTTACATTAAAAGACTTAAATATACTCATGCAGGTCAGCTGTCTTCTCTACATACCATCACCAGTCATTTTTATTTTAAACCACAAAAACTAACATGTTATTTGAATCTTTATAAGTGAAAAAAAACACCAAAAACCCCATGTCTTCGTCTTTTTTTAGAACATAGACCATTTTTCATTTTTTTTTTTTTGAGAGAGAAATTTTTACTATAGGGTTTTTTACTATTAACTTTTAATATAAACTCGCTGGAGAAACAGAGAGACAGAAAGCGAGAAATCATCCTCCATGGGGATGGCCATGCCACAATCTCTTCTCCGTTCTTCTCTCGGTAGCTTGGGCATGTGCACACACACTTGTGCATCATAAGCTTTAAGCCACCAGGTCCCGGACTTGAATCTTAGTCAACTACGTGGGAGTCCAGCAATGTGACCATTACACTATCTGCTGGTCCCAAACATAGACCATTTTCAGAAAAGCAGTTGACTTGGTGTTCAATCCATGAATGTAATGCACTGCCTCCCATACCACAATTTACACACTCCTATGTGTCCTACCTCGTGCTGGCCATCCTACCTGATGATTATTCTTTTCAGTCATCACACAACTATACCTTGGTCTATCTGCCGTCCAACTGCTGATAACTGCCTTATCCTGCTGGTTTGGACAGTTTTCATAAAGTCTCTTGATTTCACAAGAAATAAGTCATTTTTCCAAGGTCCCCATTTTATGCAAATAATAGACAATGACAACAGGAAAGGAATTTTAACACTGAGATGATTATTTGATTATTACGTTGGGACTAGAACCATAAAGTGGTTCAGGCTTTTGAAAAAACTATAGTGTGGCTAGTGAAAAAAGGCATAAATATATTCAAGAAAAATTAAGTATGTATTTTAACAAAATAGGCAAGTTCTTTTCTTCTTTTTAATCTGTGGTTATCTTCATTGGATCCATAACATTTATCCAATGCACACTGACATTGATTTCTTTTCTGCTCTTTTTCTGCGCTCCCAGTCTCGCGAGCAGTTTCCCACTGATTACTTAGTCCCTCTATGACTACTCACAATGGGTTTTCTCTTCTTGATACCAGAACTAAGAAAATAGAGAATCAGAACTGAACCAGCTGCCCTTTTCATCAATTAGTTATTTAAATACCCACCAAGGTTTGTCTCTTGTGAACAGGCTCACGTGACCCAATAACCCTAGATTAAGTAATAATGTCATTTGATACATGTGGCAGTTTTTTGTTGAGAAAAAAAAATGTTATCATCTCAGATAAAATAAGGGTAATATTTTTTAACTGAATCACTATGAAGAACCAAATTGCAAGAGTTAAGAAACTATTATTTTTATAATATTTGGCTAAGGCATGCCTCATTTTCAGAATATCAGTATCTCTGATAGAAGGGCTTTGGCAGAAAGTGAGAAGTTGCTTTTTGTTTAGTCAGGTCCAAGTTACATAATACCAAATGACAGGTACAGCCAACAGTGATGGCAGTATAGACCTCAATTTTTGGTGCTGATCCAAGAGAAATGTATTTTTAAATATCCCATATCCTGAGTCTTTGTTGAGTATTTAATATAGTGACATGTATTTTTATAAGAGGACATAACAGAATTTACATTAAAAGACTTAAATATACTCATGCAGGTCAGCTGTCTTCTCTACATACCATCACCAGTCATTTTTATTTTAAACCACAAAAACTAACATGTTATTTGAATCTTTATAAGTGAAAAAAAACACCAAAAACCCCATGTCTTCGTCTTTTTTTAGAACATAGACCATTTTTCATTTTTTTTTTTTTGAGAGAGAAATTTTTACTATAGGGTTTTTTACTATTAACTTTTAATATAAACTCGCTGGAGAAACAGAGAGACAGAAAGCGAGAAATCATCCTCCATGGGGATGGCCATGCCACAATCTCTTCTCCGTTCTTCTCTCGGTAGCTTGGGCATGTGCACACACACTTGTGCATCATAAGCTTTAAGCCACCAGGTACCGGACTTGAATCTTAGTCAACTACGTGGGAGTCCAGCAATGTGACCATTACACTATCTGCTGGTCCCAAACATAGACCATTTTCAGAAAATCAGTTGGCTTGGTGTTCAATCCATGAATGTAATGCACTGCCTCCCATACCACAATTTACACACTCCTATGTGTCCTACCTCGTGCTGGCCATCCTACCTGATGATTATTCTTTTCAGTCATCACACAACTATACCTTGGTCTATCTGCCGTCCAACTGCTGATAACTGCCTTATCCTGCTGGTTTGGACAGTTTTCATAAAGTCTCTTGATTTCACAAGAAATAAGTCATTTTTCCAAGGTCCCCATTTTATGCAAATAATAGACAATGACAACAGGAAAGGAATTTTAACACTGAGATGATTATTTGATTATTACGTTGGGACTAGAACCATAAAGTGGTTCAGGCTTTTGAAAAAACTATAGTGTGGCTAGTGAAAAAAGGCATAAATATATTCAAGAAAAATTAAGTATGTATTTTAACAAAATAGGCAAGTTCTTTTCTTCTTTTTAATCTGTGGTTATCTTCATTGGATCCATAACATTTATCCAATGCACACTGACATTGATTTCTTTTCTGCTCTCCCAGTCTCGCGAGCAGTTTCCCACTGATTACTTAGTCCCTCTATGACTACTCACAATGGGTTTTCTCTTCTTGATACCAGAACTAAGAAAATAGAGAATCAGAACTGAACCAGCTGCCCTTTTCATCAATTAGTTATTTAAATACCCACCAAGGTTTGTCTCTTGTGAACAGGCTCACGTGACCCAATAACCCTAGATTAAGTAATAATGTCATTTGATACATGTGGCAGTTTTTTGTTGAGAAAAAAAAATGTTATCATCTCAGATAAAATAAGGGTAATATTTTTTAACTGAATCACTATGAAGAACCAAATTGCAAGAGTTAAGAAACTATTATTTTTATAATATTTGGCTAAGGCATGCCTCATTTTCAGAATATCAGTATCTCTGATAGAAGGGCTTTGGCAGAAAGTGAGAAGTTGCTTTTTGTTTAGTCAGGTCCAAGTTACATAATACCAAATGACAGGTACAGCCAACAGTGATGGCAGTATAGACCTCATCTATCCCAGTAGACCACAGAGCAAGGCTGTTTAGTTCACTGAAAGTCAGAGCCTTGCTTGGGAATGGGTTGCATCCATGATATTATGTAAACTTTCCATTCTATGTCCAAAGAAGGTCCCATTCCTGATAAGGAGCTAAAAGTTCCTTTGTTTTCAGGCCTCAACACTCACCAGTGCTAGATAGCAAACTGTGTAAGAAGACATTTGTTCCATCCCCGAGGGCAGAATTTGTATTGTCTGCTCTCTTTAAACATTAAACTTTACTATTCTCAGTCCAGAGAAGGCACTCCTAATTGTGTTTTCAACTGTTATATAACCTATACTTCTCATTTTAGTTTAAGCAGGCCAAATAGCTAATCTGGAAATAAATCAACTCAAGGGCTTAATTCTTATTGACTTACATGCTTGAAAAAGAAGTGACTTTTGTCACTGTTCACATAGTGAAAAAACATACCAGGCACGTGTGTGTATGTACTCAAGATACCGAAAAGGAGAAAGGAGTTATAGCATGACCACCTCCCATGGGGAGTAATTTCTTGCTATCCCTTCCCCTCTTTTTCTCTTCAGTGAGCCTATGTACCATCTAGCCAATGAAAAAAGACAACAAGAAAAGATTTATAAAACCAAAGCCAACTATAGTTCCCCTGTAGGCCTAGGGGCTTCTATGTGGATGCCTCTGTGATGGCATCCACCACTATGCTACATGATCATAATCAAAAGCCAGAGGCTGCTCTGAAACTTCAATGTCATATGAAAGTGAAGTCTCTGGATCAACTCTGTATTTCTGATCAACACATATACTATCTTTACCCTGACTGAAATGACCTTGGGAATTAATGAAAACTGCCTGCAAAATATGATCGCTGTTACAGTTTGGATCATGGTTTGTCCCCCCGAGTGTTCATGATTTGGAATATGGTCTTAGTGAGAGGTGATGAGATGTCTCCCCTGAAGTTCAGGTGTTGGGACTTGCATGTATTGTAAATTCATTGAGTGAAAATGTAGTCCTTTCATGGTATTCCAGGGTGTGGTCTTTGAGTATGATAAACTCATTAGGCAGTGCCCCCATGACTGAGTTCTGCTGTGTATAAGGAGAGGCAATGAGGAGAACAATACATAGATATAGTCCACACTCCACTCTGCTCAAGGTTCTGCCTTCTGCCATTTTGTGGTATCTTCAGATTTTCCAGGCACCAGACTTGTGAGTCAATAAATCTCTATGTCTTTATGAATCACTCAGTCTCAGGTATTTCTGTTAACAAACCAATATTGGGCTAAGACAATCACCAAATTATGAATGATGTAATTAGCTTATCATGAGAGGCTCCAGTCCCTCTAGAATGACTAGATGACCATTCAACTTGTATAATATGAAGCATTTTCTCAAAGAGAATTTAAGGTCTATGTTTATTAAGCTCAGAAGACAGCAAACTAAGAAAGATTGAGTGTAGCTAATTGTTTTTAATTCCTGGATATTTCCCATTGAAACCCCAAAATTTCAATCTAGGAACATAACTGGAAATGATTTAAATCAGTGCTGTCACAAAGAAACATAATGGGAACCACATGTAATTTAAAGTATTTTTTATAATAGTCACATTAAAACAAAAACAAGTGAAATTATTTTTTAAATATATATTTAGCCTGATACACGCAAAAAATTCATTTCAACACAAAATATATACTTAAATTACTGTGATATTTTTACCTTGGAGGGTAATAAATCTTCAAAATACAGTGTGTATATTTAATAGTACAGCTGTGTTCAGACTAGCCACATTTCAGGTTCTCAATGGTCATGTTTGTCGAGTGGCTGCTCTTTTGATAAGTGCAGGGCAAGATGCCTGAACTTCCTGGAGGCATTGTCAGATGGTTAGAAGGAACACTAAACACATGTCAGACCAATCTGGAGTGTCACCTCTGAGTGACTTAGGGCAAATATCCATGGCAATAATAATAGCTAACAGAGTGCTTACTGTGGACCAGCTGTCCTGTGGGTGCCTCACATCCGTGATCTCATAGAAGCCTGCCAATAACCCTAAAAGGCAGATACCACTGTACAAAAGAAGACATTGGACTTATAGAAGTTAAGCAAATTGCCCATTGTTATACAGTCAGTGCAGAATGTAGGTAGGTTTCAAACTTTGGAGCTCTACCCGCTTTGCTCTCACCACACACTATTCACTATCTGACATCTCTGAGGGGCCTTCAAAGAGTTTGCGGAAAATGCCAATTATGAGAAATTTAATCATGGGTTTGCCTCCATCTAGTGGACATGTTGGCCTTTTTTTATTAATTAAAATGAAAAAAAAAATAAGCCAACTATACTATCATTATTGTACATTTTCAGTTTTTTGGGATTAAAGAAAAAGGGTAATCATAGACCAAACACTACATTTCATACTTATTTTTATCAAAAAGTTATTCCACAGAGAATTTGAGGAGGTGTATAATTGAAGACATACATATACTGATTGGAAATAAAGCTATTTAGAAGGAGTAAGTAGGGACCAACAGTTAGTGTAATGGCTATGTCGCTGGACTCCCACGTAGTCGACCGTGGTTCGCGTCCCGGACTCAGTGGCTTAAAACTCATGCTGGGCATGTGTATGTGCGTGCCCAGGATCCCAAGAGGAGAATGGAGGAGAATGGAGGAGAAGGGATTGTGGCGTGGCCATCCCCCCTGGGGGGGTGATTTCTCGCTTTATGTCTTGGTCTCTGTCTGGCGAGCGCACGCGCCCTATAGCAAAGAAAAAAAAAAAAAAGGAGTAAGTAGACATATACCTCCTAATTAATATAGTTTCTGCAATTAACAAATTATCTCCAATCTTTTTTCAGATTGGAGGACCAAAAAAGGAAAACAACTGTATAATTTTTTATCACTTGATCAAGGATTGGGTCATTGGAAAAGTCATTATGCATTTTTTTCATAGAAAAATATGTCATGACTTTTCCAATGACCCAATAAATCATATTTTTAATGTGTTCTGTTGTTCAGCATCATGTCTATAAAATTTTTCACACTATTTTTTTAACTAACATAGGCTTACTTCTGTATAATTTTGCACGAGTTTAAAATACGTATGGTAAATTTCTGAAATCTTGATAAATTCAACAAAACTAATATACCCATGTAACTGCCACTCAGCTCAATATCTAGAAAATAACCAGTAGCCCAGAAGCCTAGCTTGTGCTTCCTCTCAGTGCTCCTTCAAAGGTACCTGCTATTTGAAATTTCTATCACCATCGCTTAGTTTTGCCTACTTAAGTGATATAATTTATTATGTACAATAAATAAGTAAAAATAAAAGGAGTTGCAGAGAGGAGAAAACAAGTTACAATAAAATAATTTAAAATTCTCTAAAATGTAGGACATGAGTTTCTAGATAGAAATTATCTGCTGATTGCCCAGAAAATGTATTTAAGAAATTACCTTTATCATGGTGAATCATCATAAAATCTCAGAACAATGAGGATAATGACAAGATCCTCTAAGTTTCTAGGAAGAAAAATATGCCCTGTGTGGTGGGTCAGGGGTAGAATGACAGCAGAATTCTCTAAGGCAACATCAGATGGCAGACGATGACGCTGCAATGACTTTCACAATCTGAGGAAAACACATTTTCAATCCAGAGCTCTTTACCTAGCCAAGCAGCTGGGCTTCAGCCAGCCGGAAGAACAGGCAGTACAGACTGGAGCAGACCAGAAGTCCCTCCGGGAGGAATGTCATCAAAAAATGAAACTGATAGAGTTCCTCCTGTGTTTGAGCATATCTGGAGATTTACGCAAAGAGGAGTGTGGGAATGGATCGGTGATAAGGACATCACAAACCCTGTAATTGAAAAATCCTGACAATTACGAACTTCAGCCCATTGGAAGGTTGTACAGGAAGGAAAAATGACCATGGAACATTACAGAGCTCACTTGCAACTAGACTTTGCATAGTTACACTGACATAAACACTAAATATTGCTCTAGCCAAAATGTCATTGTATCCATATGGAGAATATGCTTGGGGCACTAAGTGTGTGTGAGGTAAAGAGCATGGAAAAAGGGGATCTCATCTTTCTAACTGGAAATCACTGTGATACATAAAATTTAAAAACATAAAAAAGGCAAGAATATGTGGTTATATGATTATAAATGCTAAGTTATCAGCCAAAAGATGTAAAAATGCTTGGGGATACAATGAAGGCATATGAGGTCTTCTGTATATGATTGCAAACCTTGTAGAGCTGTTTATAATATGATGCACGTTTAACTTTCGTAAAATTAATATCATAACTTAATTCATTTTTCTTTGTGATTGCAAAAACAAAACAAAAGCAACTCCATGCTTCGAATAACGCTCTGGATTGTCCCACTTGCGCTTCAAATCAAACTTCTCTGAATGTGATTTCCTCATCTGTAAAGTTAGTTACATGATTGAAATAGATCATGGATCCAAAAGTGCTTGGAAACTAAAATTGTTGCTTAATACTAATAATTTACAGTCCAAACGCTGGGAATGCTCAACATTCATCCATTTGACCAGGTTTTTGTGTAGCAGGGAGAGGAACCAGACAGAGCGCTGCGTGAACCCAGAGACAGCAGCACCTGGACTCACTTGTCCATCTCCTACCTCTTCCATTCTGGGTGGTGATCCGCTTTGGGGCTTTGTGGGGCAGACTTCTCCGGGTTTTCATTCCCGCTGTGCCACTCCTAGCTGGGCAGCCTTGGCAAGTGCCTTGGCTTGTCTACAGTAAATCTCGGGCTCCCTATCTGGGAACGAAAGAGCCTCTCTTGGGAAGCTGATCTGAGAAACAAACGAGAGATGAATGAAATTCGTTTGCTTTGCCCAATAACCCATGCAGCTTCCCAACTCAAACTTTCTTCGGCCAGACCGACGCCTAGGGCTGGGGAGAAGCCCGGGAAGGGCGTCTGGGGGCGGAGAGGATTCGAGTCACTATGGCAACCCGCGACGCCTGGCGTTCCGGTACAGCCCGCCGCGGAGCTGAGAAGGCTGGAGGGCCTCGGGCCGCATAGAAGACCCCAGCGGCATGCCGGGAGAAGAGGCGGTGGTGGTGTCCACGGCTGCGGCTCCGGAGGGGGGCCGAGACCGGGAGCAGCCTCTGCAACTCGCCGGGCCGGGGTGCGGGAATCGCAGGCGTGGAGAACGCGTGGAAAAGGAACTGGGGGCCACGGAAGAGGGACCTGAGGAAGCCACGATAGTTTGGGGACAGAGGGTGGAGCTGGAGCCGCTGTTCCAGCGGAGGTGATGGCACCTTGGCAGAGACCATAGGTCTATTTCCCCACGCTCCTCTTCACAATACAGGGGTCGCCCGCACCTTCAAGGAATCAGTAGTGACATTCTTCTGGGATTTAAAAAATACGCGCACGGAGGCATTTGTATATAATATATATATGCATGCACATTTACATATGCATGTACGTGTGTACGTGTATATATTGTGAGTATATACATATATACTTTCACACATGCATATGGAAACATGCAGATCATGTCACTAATTCCTTCATTGTCAGATCAGGAAATTGGGGTCTAGACACCCGAGAAGAGGCAATGACTTGTCCCCATCGTTCAGCCAGGGCTAAAACACTTCAATTCCCATCTCTTGGAAGGTCAGTCCATACACTTTTACCTGACTCTTAGACTCTCACAATTATGGTCCACATTTAATTGTATTTATTATTATTATTATTATTTTATTATCTTTTTAATTTACCAGAGAGGAACAGAGAGAGAGAGAAAATAAGAAAACAAGCCACCAGGTCTGAGACTTGAACCTCAGTTGGTCATGTGGGAGTCTCAACCACCATGCCACCTGCTGGCCCTGTGGGCTACATTTTAACACACTGCTGTTTTCTCTCTGCCTCCCCCCAAACGTATCCACTATGTTCAAATATGTCAAGGCAATCTGGAGCAACCACAGTCCCAGCCAACTACAAAGCTACAACCTACTTGGCTGTAACTTGAATGCTAGTCAGGTTGCAGCCCTCGTCCATATTGTTCTGTGAGTGTGCAGATATTTCATAGCCTCCTGCCCACAGGTGTTCAGTAGGTGCTAAGGAATGAAGTGAGAATAATAGGCTGAAGATGTTTCCAGCCCTCCTGCAGGCCTTCCTGATTGCCTCTCTGGAGAGCAGCTGGGGTTCTCTGGCTCCCTCTGTGCTGGCACTGGCCATCCCCAGAGGGAGGGTCGGGTTGAAGCATCTCAGTACTTGGCTTCTGTGAACAACACATTCTCGTCCCTGTCCCCCAGAGACCTCATCAACGAGTCAGTGGCAGAAGGGCTGCCTCCTGGTGACAGGGGCCTCTTCCCTCTGCATCAGCCTTGGTATGACAAGACACCATGCTTTTCGTTATTTTCCGCAGCGTGCAGAGGCCTTACTTAGAGCAACTACAATCGGTGTATGTAGGTAATAGAGAGTCCTTATTCATACTTAAAATTTTTTAAAAATGCAGAACCGTGGGTTCAAAATTAGGTAATAAAAATTTTATTTACAATAAGAATAAATAATACCTGTTAAACAAAAGAATTCTACCTGGGAACTTTCCCATTAAAGATGCTAGTAGCTAAAAGTTCTGTAGTTCTGTGGCTCTCGGAGTAAAAGGTGATATTAATTATTCATTCCTCAATTCAACATATATGGAATCTTTTTTTTTTTTGAGAGTTTTTTGCTATACGGCTCGTGTGCTCGCCAGACAGACAGAGAGAGACAGAGAGACAGAAAGCGAGAAATCACCCCCTGGGGGGATGGCCATGCCACAATCCCTTCTCCTCCGTTCTCCTCTCGGGATCTTGGGCACGCATGCACACACGCCCGGTGTGAGTTTTAAGCCACTGGGTCCGGGACACGAACCGTGGTCAACTACATGGGAGTCCAGTGACATAGCCATTACGCTAATTGCTGGTCCCGGAATCTTTTAATTTTAATTTAAATTTTGCTATAGGCCACATGCACTTGCCAGAGAGAGAGAAAGAGAGAGCAAGGTGAAGTGAGAAAGCACCCCCTATGGGAGGTGACCATGCTCAAATCCCTTTGCCTCCATTCTCCTTTTGGGATGTTGGGCATGCATGCACATGTGCCCAGCATGTTTTTCAGGCTGCTGGGTCTGGAACTCGAATGGTATAGTTGGCCATGTGGTTTTAACCACCATGCCACCTAGCTGCTTTAACCACCATTCCACCTGGCAAGCCCTACAAATGACCTTAAAGGTGACATTATGGGACTAGGAGAAGGCATAATGGTTACATTGCTGGACTCCCATGTAGTTGACAACGGTTCAAGTTCTGGACCCAGCGACTTAAACTCACACTGGGTGCATATGTGTGCATGCCCAATATTCCAAGAGAAGAATGGAGGAAAAGGGATCACAATGTGGCCATTTCCCTTGAAGGGTGAGTTCTCACTTTCTGTCTCTCTGTCTCTCTGGTGAGTGCATGCATCCTATAGCAAAAATCTCTCTTAAAAAATAATAAAGGTGACATTATGTCTGTAAAAGATTTGGTGGGTGCCTTCGTATAATTCAAGGATGTATATATGGGAAAGATACTTTTTCTGGGGATATTTGACAGTAGATCTGTGATTAGGGATTAGAAGCCTTTCCAATAATAGACAGTTGAAAATTGAGTGGGTACTTTGTGCAGTACGAACAGCTGCTCTCTACTTGAGCTGAGGCACAAACTCTTTGCACACCACTGCCCAGTGCTGTGAGCGCATGAACATCTGGGCACCTATGTTAGTTCATCACCCCCTCCCCCTGCAACTGGCCCAATACCTGGCACATAGTAAAGGCTCCATACACAGGGGCCAGCTGGTGGCATGATGGTTAAAGCAGCTGAATCCCATGTAGGCAAGTCCCCATTCGAGTCCCAGACCTGGCAGCCTGTAAAACATACTGAGTGCATGTATGCACATGCCTAAATCCTAAGAGGAGAATGGAGGAGAAAGGATTTCGGCATGGTCGTTCCCCCTTTGGGGGTGCTTTCTCTCTGTCTCTGTCTCTGGACAGTGCACACACCCTATAACAATATACATGTGTGTGTGTGTGTGTATACACACACATTTAAAAAAATTATTTGTAGGGAACCAGCAGTTAGCGTAATGGCTATGTCGCTGGACTCCCACGTAGTCGACTGCGGCTCACGTCCCGGACCCGGTGGCTTAAAACTCACACCGGGCGTGTGTGCGTGTGTGCCCAAGATCCCGAGAGGAGAATGGAGGAGAAGGGATTGCGGCGTGACCATCCCCCCTGGGGGGTGATTTCTCGCTTTCTGTCTCTATGTCTCTCTCTGTCTGTTTGGCGAGCGCACACGCCCTACAGTGAAAATCTCTCCAAAAAAAAAAAAAAAAATTATTTGTAGCGCTCTCGCCAGTCTGGCTGGCCACTTCCAACATTCTCCAACTAATTAAATCACTGAGCCCTGTATTCTAAATATGATCGGAATAGCACAGAGTGGTAGAACTGTAACTATGGGTTACAGTGAACTATAAACTATTAATATGTTTAGTAACCCTAGAAACAGAAGGTTTAGGAAGTTATTTTCTTAACTATAAACTCCAGGAAGTTACTTTCTCATTTATAAACTAGGAATAATGATGCTGGTTCATAGTTCATTCATTCTGAGAAAAATAATAGCATTCAAAAATTATAGTAATTGATTTTGGCTAACAACAGCAAAAAAAGCTGGAATAATATTGCTCCAAAAGGAAATCAGGAATAATGTTGTTCTTCACAGCACTTCTCAGCACTTAGTGATGGGGCTCCTCGCTGTCTTGATACACAAGCCATCTTTTGACCAGTCTGCTCAAAAAGTCAGAGGGTAACATCACGCTGTTGTTATGGTTTGCAGAATTAACTTTCTTTCTCTCTCCCTTCCTCTTCTTCCTTTCCTTCCTTCATGATCTCCCTCCCCTCTCCTCCCATCTTTCCTTCCTGCCCTCTTCTTCCTTCCTAACTTTCTTCCCTCCCTCCTTCCTTCTCCTTTCTCTCCCTCCTTCCTTCTTCTTTCCCTCCCCCTCCTTCCTTCTTCCTTTCTTTCTTTTCTGTTTTTCTGAGCAGGGGATATTGCCCCCACTAGCACCTTAATTCACTCTTAGTTTTCACAGTTCCTCAAATCGCCTTTGGTGATTCCCTCTGTTAATTTTCTTCGCAGCAGGACTGGAATTTGTCAGGAGATCCAAACCTGCAGCAGGGCACCCCTTTCTCTCTGCTGCCCACTTATATAGGCTTTGCTTCCATCCCAGCCAAGTCTATCAAACCCTTCTCTGCCTGAAGATCATGATTTTTACAGAAAAAGTTTAAATCTGAGACAGGCCGAAGTCATGCTGATCCCATCTTTTCTTCATGTGACTCGCGGCTTTGGGGAGATAAGCATGAGGCCCTCACACACAGGCCACGTATGTGAGGCTGTGTTTGGGTTTTCATGACCAGGAATGATGCAGAGCCACTGCCAGAAGCAGCAGGCCCCTTGCCCCATTGGGCCCTGTCTGCACCCAAGTGCAATTGACTCATCTGTGCTCTTCATTGCTTAGTCTGGAAAAGATGAGACATCTGCCATGTCTTTGTGAGTTCAAAATCAAATTTTAAATAACTAAACTATTTCATTGTTTATACTTTCTTTTTTTCTTTTCTTTTTTTTTTTTTTTTGTGAGAGAGATTTTTGCTGTAGGGCACATTGCTTGCTGGAGGGACAGAGAGACAGAAAGTGAGAAATCATGCCTCATGGGAGATGGCCACACTGTAATCCCTTCTCCTCCATTCTTCTCTGGAGACTTTGGGCATACCTGTACATGTGCCTGGAATGAGTTTTAAGCTGAAGGGTCCTGGATTCAAACTGCAGTTGGCCACATGGCCTTAACAGCCCTGCCTTCTGCTGGTCTGGTTGCTTAAGTTTTCTACAAGCCCCTTGAATTAGCTTTGGGTACTGAAGCTAGAACTACTGGTTCTCTGACCTTCAGATGACATGGGGGGGAGGGTGTGCTGCTTTTTCCTCCCCATCTCTCTGTCTCTTTGTCTCTCTCTGGCAAGTACATGATCCCTCTAGCAAAAATAAGAATAAATAAATAAAGAGTCCGAAACTTAGCCCACAAATTCAAGAATGACACGAAAGTATGAAGTCCCTTCCCAAGAAACAAAAGTTACATTGAATAAGATCTTCCCAAGATAGAACCTGCAGGGTGAATCATTTGATATTTGTATAAAATGATATGCAGTGTTTTTTTTTTTTTGTATAAAAAAAGTAGTTATTCATATAGGTGTAATGGCTATAAAGTTGGACAGAATTTCTAAGTAACCAATTTGGTCAATGCCTTTATAGGGAAGAAATTTTTATATTGTGAGCCACATAAGAGAGTTAAGGAAGTGCTGGAAGAAGAACTTTATATGAAGAGAGATGAATGCCACATTAAAAATCCACCTGCAGGTAATCTCAGTGACAAATGAAGTATACTTGTGAAATGAATATGAAATCGCCTTTTGACGTCAGGGTGATTATATGACTTATTACAAAACCATAACTATCAAAAGAAAAATGGGCTCTTGGGAAATTCTTGAATTATCAATATAATTATTTGACCTATGTCCAAATAAAAACCTTTACATTTAGAAAAAAAGATATCAGTATGTACTTTGCTATCCCACCTTTTTTCTGGGAGGAATTATTTCTATTTAATGACAAGTAGAATTTTTTAATACCCTGAAAAACAATAATAGCTTTGAACTCTATCAATATTGGTATAACCAGGACAATGGTTCCTAAACCTCAGGTTCTATCAGAACTACGTGGGCTCTTTTAGGTTACTGGGCCTCAAACTATAGTCACCCATGTGGGAATCCAGCACCTTAGCCACCTTAGCTGGATTCCCACATGGGTGACTATAGTTTGAGTCCCAGTAGCCTGAAAATCACGCTGGGTATGTGTACATGCATGCCGAAAATCTTGAGAGGAGAATGGAGGAGAAGGGATTGCAGCATGGCCATCCTCCCTGGGAGGTGATTTCTCACTTTCCCTCTCTCTGGCAGCAAACATCTAAAAATAAAATAAACTAAATTGCCGGGCCATCCTGTGGCCTGGTGGTCAAGGAAGTTGGATCCCACATGGCTGACATTGTGGTTTGAGTCTTGGGCTCAAGAAGTGGCTTGAGAAACACTCTGGCCACATGTGGGTGCATGCCCAAAATCCTGAAAGGAAGGAGAAAGAGAGGAGAATGGATTATGCTCTGACTGTGCCCCATGCTTTCTTGCTCCTCTCTCTCTCTCTCTCTCTTCTTCTCCTCCTTGATCTCCTTTTCCTCCCCTTTCTCTTTCTCCTCCTTCTCGTTCTTCTCTCTCCCTCCCCCCCTGCCCTCTGGCAAATTTTTAAAAAATAAGAAAAGCTGTTTGTTGAGCCCCACCCCTAGAAGTTCTATGAAGTTCCCAAGTGATACTGATAATACTGTAATTTATAATAGATTTGCTGCCCCGATTGCAAATCACTGACCCAGCAGTGTCTAAGTCATTTAAATAGGTCAAACCATGCAGCGTTTTATCCCGTAAACACATAGTGTATGAGTTAGGAATTGGATTTGATAGCTCTCATTGGTGGCTTATGTCTTCTAGAAGCCCCACAATCCCTCACAGATGTCTCTTGAAACTGCTACTGTCCATCATTTTCACAGCACCTTCTCAAAAATTACTAGGTGCATGTTTTATGGTCTTCCAATCATCAGGTTTTTGTAGCAATACTCTTGGGTACCAGTTGCTAGGTATAGACCAGACTCCTATACTCTGAGAACTTGATGTTTTCTGGGCAGACTTATTGAATAACCTGCAGGTGGGGCCCTAACTCAGAGAGGATTCCTAAAAGCAGATGCTGCAGACCCAGAGCTGTATCTTTTTTAGACTCCATAAGTATATGCACACTTCATGTTTCTAAGCCAGCTACCGAAACTTTCTGTGCCTTCTTGAATCACTCATCTCTACAAAAGGAGAGACCATTTGCTTGTACAACTTTGAAGAAAGTTTTAAAGTCTATGTCGCACTCTATAAATGAATACAGCATGACCTACAAATTTCTGCTGTGAAACCCAGCCTACATGTATGATTTCCCTGGTAGTTAAAACATTTTTAATCTATGCTATTAGATTGTGGATTTATCTTTATTATTTTCAAAAACAATATAAAAGCTAATTCATATATTAGCCATATTATCCTTATTAGATACATTTGATTATGAGATAGGCTGAGTGAATAGAAAATATCCTTTGGTTTACAACAACTCTTTTCTAAGCTACGTTGAAATATCCCTCATATAAAATATTACAGAAACTGTCTGGCCTACATTTTTTATAACATCCACTAGAGGTCGCACAGAGGTAGTCTTTTAGCACCGAACAATCTCAAAACCGACGAGAGATTTTTTTTTTTTTTTTGAGTTTCAATTTTTAAAGGGCTCTCTGTACTCATGGAAATGAAACCTACTTTTCAGTTTTTTCCTATAATAACTAGAAGCCTTATGTTCTTGGCTAAAATAGGAACTAGCATATAGAGAAGGTTGCAGTCTGGTCACAGAGTGGAAGCAGCCCTAGGCTAGCCATTGGGACCTTCTAGTTCAGAGACTGTCGTGACACGTCCCTTTAAATATCTGACAGAAGCTATGGCTTCTCACCCTGGAAGACACAATTTGTCATATATGACCAAAATTCTGCAGAAAACTTTTAGGGACTTGTGTGGCTGATCTAATGGCTATTTCTAGACATTGAGAGTAAGTACCCTTGACCCACCATCTCCACCTCTTTTCTCATCGGTTGTTCCTTCACCTAGTCCAATTAGACTATCATTCCCATGAGTCCAGGGAAATGGTTCTTCTTCAGCTTGCAGATAGCTAGCCTCTTAAAGGTCAAATCTGAGGAGTCCTCCAGCATACTCAACCTCTCTGTGGCATCAGACACAATCATTTCCTCCTCCCCTCTGAAAACACTTTCTCACATTGGCCTCCAGGTCATGACATGCTAACCTCTACTGCCACTCTTCCTCTGTCCTCCGGGCTGATTCTCTCTCCTCCTTGCCTTTAAATTGGGAGAGCGCAGCCTCTCCACAGGTGCTTCACTTTATCTATACTCCCTGCTTGGGTCAGCCCACTTAGCCCATTGTACTGGATTGTCTGAAAAGTCGTGACGTGTTTTTCTATGTAAAAATGAGTCCTGATTTTCCATCGACTCAATATTTATGACTGCAAAATGTTTACCTCTAGCTTCTACTTTCCTTTTTTCTTCAAATCCCTAAAGCCTACTTGACTCTTAGATGTCCAATAGGCCTCTTCAATTTAACATATCCAGAATAGAACTGTTACCTTGTACCCCAGCTTTTAAAACCCCACTCTTCTATAGGCCCTGTCCATATCAAAGAAATGATACTATCATTCACTCAGCTGATTAGGCTAAACACCCAGAAGTCAATTCACCAAACTCCATAGCCACTCCATCGGCTAATCCTGCCAAAATATTAGGTTGTCAGGAAAATTTCTAAGAAAAATGGGTCATGACTTCCCCAACAACCCAAGATATCCTAAATCTCCCCAGCTGCACTCTGTCCAAGCTCACTGTCCTTTGCAGGCTCAGCAATAGTCTCTTTAACAGCTTCTATTATATATCGTCCTCTGTAGTCTGTTTCTTACACAGAAACCAGAAGGCTCTGTTACAGACATAAACCATACTTACTCATGGAAGGAAGGAAGGAAAAAGGCAGGAAGGAAGGAAGGAAGGAAGGGAGGAAGGGAGGAAGGAAGGAAAGAGGGAAGGAAGGAAGGAAGGAAGGGAAAAAAGGAAGGACGGAAGCAAAGTTAAAAATTACTTGAAGTTTTCTTCCTCTGGCCAAGTCTCCAACATGTTTACACAGGGAAATACAGAAGGCATGGCTCTAACCTGGCTGTTCAAGTTTTAATGTTCATTACTCACAGTCTAGGAACAGCAAAAGGGTACACAAATATTTTTAAAGAAATCATTCACCCTTTCCTGTGAGTACAAACCAGGTCTCGCTGACTGAAATCTTTGCCACAAAGGTATGGTTTAGTCATTTTAAAATCGAGGAAAAAAATGCATCTGAAACTGTCTCTGAGTAGAAGAGGTTGGGGGTATGAGCAGGGAAGAAGAGATAAGAATCTCCAGAAGACTGGGTCGATAGGTGGCATGGTGGGTGAGGTACTGGACTGCCACATGGCTAACTATGATTCAAGTCCTGGACCTGGTGGCTTGCTTTCTCACTTTTTTTGTCTCTCTCTGGTGGGCACATGTGTCCTGTAGCAAATTATAAAACAAAAACAAACAAACAAAAAGACAAATAAAATTTAATAAATAATTCTTTAAAAAAAACAAAAGACTTTCTAGAAGATTCTCCTGTGCTAGCTGCCCTTTTCCTTTTCAGGCTAGACTGCCAGTATTGAGGTCTCCCTGGCTCTGCTTCCCCCTTTGTCTTCCCTCTTCCTTCCTTCCTTCCTTCCTTTATGCCCAGAGCTAAGGGAGTTTAGTGTCTCTTAAAGTCAGCAGCTGCCTCAGAGGGTGTCCATACTTCTTTTTAGACGCTTCTTCCAGTAAAATGTATCACCTTCTGTAACCTCTTCATCCAACCATTATGTCAAATGGAAACAAAACTACTTTTTCCAGCAACTGCTATCCTAAATCCAGTAATATTTGTATGTAACTATATCTTGCTTTGAGTTTTTGTGTATTTCTGAGCATCAACATTTACATTTCAGGTATTTCTTCTATTAAGTTATGAGCTTCTTGGTATTCATGTGATTGCATCTGAATGAGTGCAGCTGTTTCACTATTACAAGTCTTCCTATTTTGATATAGTTCGTCTGCATGGTTCTCTCTCCTGATTTCAAACTCCATTTGCCAGACCTTCCCCTAGTGTGGACCCAATTTAAATCTATTTCTCTGGTCTCTTACAGGGGATTGGGCATAGAGGTTATTTAATAAATGTTTTGGGGGCCCTACATTTGAAAGTCTATTACTCAGAGGCTGAGAGCAGCCCTGTTTTAAGTCTGGATAAAAGAGGAAGCTGGCTTGAATGGCGGGGGGAAGATTTAGGTTAGATATAAGCAACAGTGTAAACTTTGTAAGCTCTTGACAGAAGGAGAGAGATTGTGGAGTCTTCCTTAAAGGGCTTTGAAAAAAGAAGAAAAGAATCTTTTTTTTTTTTTTTTTTGGAGAGGTTTTTGCTATAGGGCGCGTGTGCTCACCAGACAGAGAGAGAGAGAGAGAGAGAGAAAGCGAGAAATCATCCCCCAGGGGGGATGACCACGCCACAATCCCTTCTCCTCCATTCTCCTTTTGGGATCTTGGGCACGCACGCTCACGCCGTATGAGTTTAAGCCACCGGGTCCGGGGCTTGAACCACGGTCGACTATGTGGGAGTCCAGTGACATAGCCATTATGCTAACTGCTGGTCCCCCCCCCAAAAAAGAAGAAAGAAATCTTGACAGAGAACTTTAGCTACACCACTCAGGAGTGGGAAGGGAGAGGCACGCACTGACATTCAGCTTAGGGCCTGTAGAAATGGGATCTGAGTCCATGCTTGGACAGAAAAATCATTGTTACTGTAAAAATAATAGCTGTCCCATATTGGGTACAAAGCACTTTATATCCTCTCATCTCGTCCTATGACAAACCTTCCAGGTAGATGCTTTACATATTTTTGAAATGAGGAAACTGAGATACCATGGGTTAAATAACTTGTACAAACTCAAACAACTGGGGGACCAGCAGTTAGCGTAATGGCTATGTCGCTGGACTCCCATGTGGTCGAACGTGGTTCGAGTCCCGGACCCGGTGGCTTAAAACTCACACCAGGAGCATGTGCGCGCGTGTCTAAGATCCCAAGAGGAGAATGGAGGAGAAGGGATTGCGGCCCCCATCCCCCCCAAAAAAAGAAAATCAAACAACTGGGAAGTGATGGCATTGAGACTTAAAAACCTAGATCTCCTCTGAGCCCAAAGACTGTGCTCCTGGTTAGTCCTTGGTGTGGAATCCTTTACGGAGGGATCAAATGTCAATGGTGATGTCAATGTGCGTCCTTGACTCTGAGGAAAACATTGGGTATTAAAATTTGCAACCTCAGAAAAGGGGGGAGGGGGGAAGCACTAAGCTGAATTTATCACCTTACTTGACTTGGAATGTAGTTTTCTACAAAACACAGTCGCCAAATGCTTGTTGACTGACTCTCAAACTAAACAAGTGATTTTAGGATATGGAGGATAGTCCAGTGGCAGCCAGTATAAACCTTATTGAAGAACGTCAGGATTCAACCCCGTGATTTTCCAGGTACCCACGTGCAGAATTACTTTGCAGATTTTTGCTATGGTCTTTTAAATGTGGGATTTGGTGAGTTTGTTGTGATCTCTTTCAAGGGGGAGATTAAACACCATCTAGATTGTGGCTTTTAGAAGAGTTTTGGTTCTACTGGATGAGTTAATGTGGGAATTTTGGATTCTGCCTTTTTTTTTTTTTTAAGATTTTTTTGCTATGGGTGTGTGCAAACGCCACAGACAGAGAGAGAGAGAAAGAGATAGGGAACAGTGAGAGGGGGAATGGTCACATTGCAATCCCATCTCCTCTACTCTCCTCCTGAGATTTTGGGCATGCACACACACGCACTTAGCATAATTTTCAAGCCTCTAGGTCTGGGACTTGAACCATGTCAGCCATGTAGGAGTCCAGCACCTTAACCCCATGTCACCTGCTGGTCCTGGCACTACTATCTTTGGAAATATTTCTACTTATGTAGGAATTAAATCAAAATCAGATAAGATTGACTGAATAAATTCTATGTGATAACTATTATTTATTTCTAACCTTTCTGCATTTTATGAATGTTTCTATACTGACTTTTCATCCATGTTTAGTCTCAAGTTAAATTATCTCATAGCACTGTAGGGGTTCAATTGCATAGGAAATACTTGAATGAAAGAAATGGAATAAAATAAATCATTAAATGATTAATAAAGACCTTGGGTAGTTTGATCAATTAAACCAACTAAACCTCTACCCAAGTAATTTTTTTTTTTAAATCACCAAGTAAATACTTTAAAAATATTTGGGGCTAAAAAGAGAATGTGCTAATAATCATCATTATGCTTTTGAAAATATTGACAGTGACCCTGGAAGGGATTTGGAGCATTAAAAGGAATCTCCCTGTGGGAGGCTTGATGCCAGGAATGCAGAGCAGAAACAGTTTACTGCCACAAGCCAAGTACTATTCCAGGCACGGAGGGCTGAGAAGTAAGACCCCAAAATCTTTGACTTCTGCTGACGCCCCTCAGGGTACTGTGCAGTTTACAAACCAGTGGTGTAAGCTCTGTTTAAAGTTCTCAATCAATGGTGCAGCGGTAGCACAAGTCCCCTGTGTGGCTGGAAGTCACTTGGCTGACCACAGGTTGGGATCCCTGGGTCTGCTAGTAGACTGACAGGGCACAGGCATGGCCACCCAAGATCCTAAGGAGCTGGAGGGCTGGGGAAGGGCGATTGCATCATGCAAGACCCTATTGAAAGTGCTTTTCTCTCTCTCTGTCTTTGTCTTCCCCTTTCTCTTGTGCATGTATGTGTTGCCTGCAGGCATGCACTCTCTATCATTAAAAATTTTTTCATTAAAATAATTAAAATTCAACCTTCCTTGCATGCACTCTCTATCATTAAAAAAAAATTTCATTAAAATAATTAAAATTCAACCTTCCTTGGGCTTGTTTCTCTCAGGTTACAGTTTAGCCACATTATGTCATTACGAAACTCAACAGTAACAGTTCCGCTAACTGATTTATCCCCATGGAAGCAATAAACGTTCCTACTCTGAGTTACATTCATGACATTTTCCTTCACTTTTTACTTAGTACACAGACTCTGGGGAGAAGAATCATGTATTTTTCCTAGATGGATGATCTTTATTAACTAGTGGAAATGAGGAAAGGTAGATGAAAAAATTAAAGAAGAACAAGGCAGTTACTTCGCTTTGCTCCTTTAGATGTCCCATATTCTAGGTAAGAGGCCAGCAGGCAGGGCCTACTGTTCTGTTCCACAGCAGACATAAACTGTGGAACAAAATATTACTCAGAGCTCACTGTCATAGCCACTGTCTGCCAAGAACATTTGGAGCAGGATGCAGGGAAGACAGAGGTCTGACATGGAAGCACATGTCCAGATAACCTAGGGCCATGCAGCTCGGTATATGAGTCCTGGAAATTAACCCACCATCAGAAGAGAATTCTGGATGAAAGGGAGAACTGACTAAAAGCCAAGCCTGGGTACTCTTAACCAATGAATCAGAATAACAAATGTAATAGCATTGCATGTTCTACCTTCCTGATAAATATCAAAATACACGATATTCGATTTAATCTTCATAATAGTCACATAAAACAGGTATAATTCACTTTATAAATAAGGAAGTTGAGGGGGACCAGCAGTTAGTGTAATGGCTATGTCGCTGGACTCTCACATAGCCGATCGTGGTTCGAGTCCTGGACCCAGTGGCTTAAACTCATGCCGGGTGCGTGTGCGTGTGTGCCCAAGATCCCGAGAGGAGAATGGAGGAGAAGGGATTGTGGCGTGGCCATCCCCCCTGGGTATTTCTCACTTTCTGTCTCTCTGTCTCTGTCTTTCTGGCAAGCACAGCACCCTATAGCAAAAACCTCTCCAAATAATAATAATAATAATAATAATAATAAAGAAATTGAGGCACAGGGAAGTTGAATAACTTACCCAGGGTTGCTCAGCTAGTGAGTGCTGGGATTTGAACCCAGATAGCCTGCCTCCAGAGTTCATGCTTTCAACTAGTAGGCTCTACTGCTTCTTTGAGCCAAATGGCGCTTAGGAGCTGTGGTGTCTATTGAATCTGGAGACAGATGAGAGCTCACAAGAAGTTGCCACAATGGGGAGAGTTCCATGGAGGCCAGAAAAGCAGCTTCTGGAATATGAATTCAGTGTGTTTGTTGCGGGGGAGGGAACTGCCAATAAAAAAGTGAGATACTAGTTAAAAAGCAAGTAAAATTAATTTCTAATGGAGATTCATGTAGTTATGGAATCCTGGGTTCGATAGTAATAGAGTAGTAGTGCCCACTGTTTACCATGCACCCGGCATTTGTGTGAGTGAGTGTGTGTGTGTTTTAAAGAGATTTTTGCTATGGGGCACATGCAACCACTGGAGAAACAGAGAGACAGAAAGCAAGGAATCACCCCCTTCCCCCGGGGGGATGGCCACAGTCCCTTCTCCTACACTCTCCTCTTGGATTTTGGGTACAAACACGTGTTCAATGTGAGTTTTAAGCCACCAGGTCCAGGACTCGAACCATGACTGACTGCATGGGAATCCAGTGACATAATCATTACACCATCAGCTGGTCCCATAAGTATTTAATGTAGTTACATAATCCACCCTATCACATGACGTGAGGGTTATAATCTCTATGTTTTGGAGAAGAAAGCAGAGGCATGCAGACATTACATTACCTAAGATCCCATGTGTAGGAGGTAGTGGAGCCAGAATGATAAACCTGTATCCATTTGGTTTCCATGACTATGCCCTTAACCATTGGCTTCTAAGACTGTGCCATTAACCATCATGGCAGAAAACCTAGTCACTGGACAACAAGGGTGGAACTAGTCGTAGGGTCACGGTTAAGAAGATGAAATTCCAGAGTTACTGGAATACAAGGTTAGGAATCTGGGAACAAAGATGTCAGTGTCCTGGAATAATGGCTGATTCACCAAAGTCTGTTGGGGGTTGCTGTTTACCTCAACTTTCCACTCAGTTTGTCAGGTTCCATTTATATTGGGTAAATCCATCATTCTGGGAAAAGTCATGAAGCAATTTATTTTAAGATGAATAGCTTTCTGAATGCATATTATAAGACTGACTGAAGAACAAATTAGTTTTATTTGAAGATATATATAAGTCTAATAAGTTACTCAATTCATCCACTGGGGATATATTAAAAATATGTACTTTATTTTTTTTTACCATAATTTCATTACTTTCACCTGTACAATCTAAGAGGACTGAAGACAAATTAGTTTTATTTGAAGATATATAAGTCTAATAAGTTACTCAATTCATCCACTGGGGATATATTAAAAATATGTACTTTATTTTTTTTTACCATAATTTCATTACTTTCACCTGTACAATCTAAGAGACTTGCTCATGGCTCTCACTCACTGTTATTCCACGCTACCTTCCAAGCAGCTCCCTCCAAGCCTCTACACTGATCATATTACAGTATGTAACTGTTACTTATGTGTATGTTAGCTTCATTTTTTTAAGTTACCAGATACATTTTTACCATATGATATGAGCCCCTACCCTCTACCATATAACCACAGCCAAGCAATCTATATGAGACGGATAACTAAGAATTAGACATTAATTATTATCAATGAAAAAAGAAAGATGCCAGGCACAGAAATAATGCAAAATGAACAGAACCCACAGATAACTTTCAGGATTTGTCAGTGGTGATCCATACACCATCAAAAGTCCCATCAAGGCAGGGACTGTGTCCCTTTCACTCACCTCTGTGTCCCTGGCACAGTAGATGCTCAGTTGCCCCTTGTCATGAGAATGCCCAACGAATGAATGACCCAGGAAATACATGCTGAATGCTTACTTTATGTTCAGAATCTTCCTCCTTCACAAAAAGTTTATGGTCTCCCCCAGTTTTGACTGCATAACTATATAGAATGCAAACAATAAAGGGGAAAGAAGGGAAACTTCTCTCTTCAGGGCCTGAATCATGAAACGCTGCATAGATTTTATGCATCTTGGAACTAACACTTTCAAAGAGGACTTTTCTGTGGATCACCATGAAATTCCCAGGAACTTTTCCCATATCGTGTGATTCAATTAAATAATTCATACCTTAGGATCACCCTGTCGCCTAAGTGAGCTAGATCCCACATGGCCTACCACACTTTGATTCTGGTCCAGTGACTTGAAAAACACATGAGGCCCCAGTTCATGCGTGCTCCAAATCCTGACAGGATGGAGAAAGAGAGGAGAAGGGATTCTGGTGCACACACGCCACACTGAGGGATGCTTTCTCCCTTTCCATCTCCCTGTCTCTAGTGAGTGCACATGTGTGCCCTTTGGCAATTAAATAACAACAAAAACAGATACTTCAAACTTCACTGCATATTTTTAATATTCACTTTGCTCTTTTCTCACTTTAATGAGCACATGATTGTGGTAGTTGTGACAAACATCCAATATGCATCACTTAAAATTTAAATTTAGAGGGGCCAGCAAGTGGCACGGTGGTTAAGGGTATTGGACTCCCCCATGGCCGACTGTGGTTCAAGTCCTGGACCTGGAGGCTTGCTTTCTTATTTTTTTTCTCTCTCTCTCTGATTCTCTCTCACTCTCTCTTTCTTGCTCTGTTCCTCTCTGGTCAAACTAAAATAAATCAATAAAGTTAAATAAAATGATTCTTTATAAAAAATTTTAATTTAGAAGCATGTCCATTTACTTGTAGTTCTAAAATATGTTTTGGTTACAGATTGCAAATCATCTACTTACTTCATCATACTAACAAGTTTTATTCATTTACTTGATCATTTCTTTTAGGGGAGGGTAGAGGTTTTTTGCTATTAGGGCACATGTGCTTGCTAGGGAAAGGAAGAAAAAGAGACAGTGAAAGGGAAAGTGAGAAATAACCCCAGGGGAGGATGGCCACACTGTAATCCCTTCTCCTCGGTTCTCCTCCCAGGATATTGGGTATGCACATACATACACATGCTCAGTGTGAGTTTCAAGCCACTGAGATCGGGACTCCAACCATTGTTGACCATGTGGGAGTCCAGCGACGTAACCACTATGCCTTCTGCTGATCCTACTTGATCATTTCTTATTCTGTGCCATATAACCAACCAAAATCAAACATAAACATAAAACCCCAGATAGTCGTCTAGCCCAATGCTAAGCTTAAATGTGCCTACAAAGCACATGGGTATCTTATTAAAATTTGCATCTTTTTTTTTTTTTAAAGAGATTTTTGCTATAGGAAGCTTGAGCTCGATGGAGAGACAGACAGAAAACAAAAAAAGTCCCCCATATCGGGGGGGGGGGATGACCATGCCGCAATCCCTTCTCCGTTCTCCTCTTGGGATTTTGGACATACACACACCTGCACCCATGCCCAGTCTGGGACTTGAACCACAGTCAACTACGTGGGAGTCCAGTGATGCAACCATCACACCATTTGCTGGTCCCATAAAATTTAGATTCCAATATAGTAGATTTTGGATGGGGTCTGAGATTCTGCATTTCTCACTGGCTACCGGTTGTTGGTAACGCTGCTTAACTGGAACCTATCTCCAGGAGCGTCTAGAAGATTGAATAGTGGTTTTTCCAGTCATTGGGATCACACTGGTGGGGCTCTTATATTCTGTTCTACCAAATGTAGTACTGCCAGGACCACTAAGTTAAATTTAGATCAAAATGAGGTTGGGATTCAAGAGCATCCCTCCAATTTAAAACTTACTTATTTGTTCACATATTTTGTTTTACTCTAGGATAAGGTGAACACAATTTTTCATTGGGAAGGAACCTCTTTCTCCTAATGTCTGAAGAACAAAGAAGAAACCCAAGTTTGTTTCATGACTTAAGATGTGTAAGGAAAAAAAATGTATATTACTCTGCAATTCCTATTATTGGTACTAATACCTATTTATAAATTAATCCAAAGTAATAAAAGACTATTAGTAATGTTTGATAAACATCTGGAAATTATGAAAGAAAATATTATACCTATTTTTAGTTGTCACAGTTTGAATACATTGGGCTTCTACTGTAATTCAGCTTATTCCATTAAATATGTGAAACCGTGCTGAAATTAAGGCATTTTATTGAGTTTTATTTCCAGATAAACATTATAAACCTAAACCTCTTACTATAGTACAATGTGTCTATCCATTACCAAATAAATAATAATTAAATCCAAGCATAGATCATTGTTAGACATCAATGAAAAGTCTTTGACTTAGAAACAACATTTTTATTCTAGCATTGGTAGATATCATAATTTCCCTAGAATGGGTTCACTAAGATAGAATGGAGTCAGAAAATTTATGAAGAGAGCTAAAAAAAAAATTAATAATATTGCTGGATTTCAAAGAGGTTAAAAAGGCGTTTCTCCTCAACTTTGACAACTGATATATGTGTGTGTGTATGTGTGTGTGTGTGTATATATATATATTATAACTCAATTTTCAGAAGCAACCACTTCTGGATATATTTTATAATTTTTGTATGCATATGCATACTCTACCTGATTGAAACCACACTGTAAAATATATACATTAATTATCCTTTTTTCCTTTTGAGAGGTTTTTGCTATAGGGTGCGTGCGCTCGCCAGAAAGACAAAGAGAGACAGAGAGATAGAAAGTGAGAGATCATCCCCCGGGGGAGATGACCACGCTGCAATCCTTTTTCCTTCTTTCTCCTCTCGGGATCTTGGGCATGTACGCACACGCACCCGGCATGAGTATAAGCTACCTGGTCCAGGACTCGAACCGCGATCAACTACATGGGAGTCCAAGGACATAGCCATTACACTAATTGCTGATCCCTTAATTATCCTTTTTAACATAACATTACATTTCTCATTCATTACAATACCACTTTAAATAATAATATTAAAATTTCTTGGATCCAGATAGTAACATTAAAATGTTGTGGAGCCAAATGGTACCTATAGCCCCAGCTAATTAGGAGGCTAATTATAAACCTTAGAAGGATTTGCAACACAGTGAGACCCTGTCTTAAAAAACGAAAAACACGGCGCCAGCAGGTGGCATAGTAATTAAAGCACTGCACTCACACATGTCTGACCATGTTTCGAGTCCTGGACCTGGAAGCTTGAAAATCACACTGGGTACAGGGCTGAGCAGCCCTGAGTTGCAGCCCTCATCTTCCAACCTCATTGGTCCATTCTCTAGAAAGGTAGAAGAAAAAACCTTTTTTCCTATTTTCTTCTCTCTCTCCTTTTTCTTTCTCTCTCACTTTTCTTTCAATCTTTTTTTCTTTTTTTTTTTTGCTAATTCTTTACTCTCCTCCCCCCCATATAGGACAGGGCATTGCAGGGAGACATCTACATCTGAGGTCATTGTGCGGTTTTACATTTTTTTATCTGTCATGTCTTGTTTCTTTTCTTTTTTCTGTATTGTATTTCCTTCTTCTATTTTATTTTCTCATTTGGGGGCTCCGCTTCCTACCAGTGACTGGATAGACAGGTCTAGGTGCATAGTAGCCAAACCTCTGAATTTTGCTAGGCTCAGAGAAATCCTCACCCCCACTGAACCAGTGGCAAAAGGTAGATACTCCTCTCCATAAATCTGACCTCAGATCTCCTCCAGTGGGTACCAGTAGAAAAGAGAAATTGGCACAGAAGTACCTCACACTAAAGGGAAACACACAAGTTCACAGTTGCAGAAAATTAGTCAAACAAATTAGCCAAAATGACCAAAAATTGGAGAAGAGTCTCTAGTATGAGAAAACCAAGTTATATGTCTCCAACAAGGAGACATAGTAATTTATCTCCAAGTATGGAAATCAGAGGAAATGAGTGAAATGTCAGATATGGCAACTACACATTATGAGATGGACGAGAAAAGAGACATTGAATTCCAGATGAGGAAGTCCTTTCATGACCTGAAGGAGATAGACAATATAAAGAAGAATCACACAGAACGTTTAGAGTTGAAGTCTGTAATGCAGGATATCAAAACCTCCCTTGAAATATTAAAAGCAGATTAGATTATGCAGAAAACTGAATCTTGGATGTAGAAGACAAAACCTCTGATCTATTAAAAAAATCACCAAAAAGAATGAAAAAATAACCACGAAAATGAGAATAATATATGAGAAATACTAGATTCCATTCAATGCCCAGACATCTGAATAACTGATATCCCACAAGGTGAAGAATCTAATAAGGGCATTGATAATCTATTCCATGAAATCCTGAAAGAAAACTTTCCAAACCTAGAGAAGCATTCAAACATCCAGACAAGAAATACAAAGGACCCCAAATGGATTCAACCCAAGAAGATCCTCTCCATGGCACATCATAGCCAGATTGGCTAAAATCACAGGTAAAGGAAATATCCTAAAAATGGCAAGAGAGGAATGCCAAATTACTTACAAAAGTTATCCCATCTGGCTAACATTGGACCTTTCAGTGGAAACAATGCAAGCAAGGAAAGAATGGGAAGATATATTCAAAGTGTTAAGAGAAAAACAATTTCAAACAAGATTATTATACCCGACAAGATTATCCTTCAAATAGGAAGAAAAGATAAAAAACATTCTCAGATAAATAAAACCTGAAAGAATTTACCAACACCTGACCAGCTCTTCAAGAAGTACTGAAGGGAGTGCTATACCAGGAAAACTAAAGAGACTGACAGACATAAGAGGAAAAAAAGAGAGAGAGAGAGAATCGAACATAAATGAATGAACACTCCATGTTAGACAGACAAGAGAATCGAACATAAATGAATGAAAACTCCATGTTAGATAGACACTTTTTTCAGTATTTTTTGTGCAAGCGACTAGTCATGTATTCACTTTCCTTGGAGACTGTACTAGTCATCTGTTCACTTTTCTTAGAGAGTCTACTAGTCATGTGTTCACTTTCCTTGGGGAGTCAAAATTTGATTTCTGAATGTTTAAGATTCTGTCTCCAATTATGCTGTTTTTGTACACTACAAAATTTATTGTGACTCAAATTTTAAAAAAAATATATTTGTGCCAATGTTAAATTCTTTGCATGTTGCAGAAAAGAAACACTTTGGAATCACTTTTAGAAAAATTGAGTTTCCATTTAAATCTGTTGCTTTTCTTTTTAAGATATATTTACTTCTCATGTACTTCTGCTAAAAAGGAAAAAAGTGCTGCATATTGCCACAATTAAAAAAAAGAAAGAAAGACAGATTAGACTTTCTGACATGTTGAAATTTATGGGAAACATTGTCAAATGCCTATCTCTCTGCATATAGAAATTTGCGTCAATGGGTGTTCCAAAATTGTATGAGATTCTTAAATATCTGTTACATATTAGTGTGTTATTATTAGTCATACTTGTAATGCTAAAAAGTTCTAATGTAGTTTGTCACAGAAATGAACATATTTGTCAATTTGGTGTTACAGTAAAATCAGATCTTGCACTATGGTCACTTTAAGTTTCATTGTACATAGTTAATTGCTTTATTCTGATGCTCTTTCTAAAACATGTTATAATAGGCTACAATTCAAAAATTGCCACTTTTAAGAAAATTAATGAAAAAGACTCTGGTAAGTACTCTTGAATATAGGTTTTTGATAACTTTGAGATCATATTTCTGAACTTTCAGGATTTAAATGGAAGGATTGGGTCACAGTAACACTACAAACTTAACAGAAGAGAAATTAATTACATGAGACTGAACTGGTAAAACAGAATTTTATAACTTTTGACTAAAACATTATTGATTTTTTTCTATACTTTGTTTTCCAGATTTAAGGATTTTTGTTTCCTTTGAGCTGTTGATAGTTCCAGTCATTTATTGTTGTTGTTTTTTTTTTAAACAGAGTTGAAACATAAACTTTTCTCCCTTCCTGACTCCTCCAGAATTGAAAAGTGTTCATGAGTATTCTTATGCTGTGGAAGTATGGTTATTTGCATAAGTTCAATAATACCTGTTGCCTTGTATCAGAAATTGGAAACACTGCTTACTGCCAGGGCTTAGGCTGGAATGTCATATCTGAAGATATGACCAGAAAGCTAAGGAACTAAAGCTGATGTTAAGAAAGCCAACAAAAGCTCTTGGGAGCCAGCAGTTAGTGTAATGGCTATGTCGCTGGAATCCCACGTAGTCGACAGCGGTTCGCATCCTGGACCCCGTGGCTTAAAACTCATGCCTGGCGCGTGTGCGTGCGTGCCCAAGATCCCGAGAGGAGAATGGAGGAGAAGGGGTTGTGGGGAAAACCCAGTGGGGGGGTGATTTCTCGCTTTCTGTCTCTATGTCTCTCTCTGTCTGTCTGGCGAATGCACGCGCCCTATAGCAAAAACCTCTCCAAAAAAAAAAGCCAACAAAAGCTCTTAAGAAGATTGCCTGGTACCATAAACAGTTCTGCCTTACAGGTAAGTAAAGAATATCACCTCCTGGGAACCAGCAGTTAGCGTAATGGCTATGTCACTGGACTCCCACGTAGTCGACCGCGGTTCGTGTCCCGGACCCGGTGGCTTAAAACTCACGCCGGGCGCGTGTGCATGCGTGCCCAAGATCCCGAGAGGAGAATGGAGAAGGGACTGCGGCGTGACCATCCCCCCTGGGGGGTGATTTCTTGCTTTCTGTCTCTATGTCTCTCTCTGTCTGTCTGGCGAGCGCACGCGCCCTATAGTGAAAATCTCTCCAAAAAAAAGAATATCACCTCCTGACAGGCCTGAAAACTTCCAAGTACCGGTACTTAAAGGCATGGTCAGATGGTGACTTCCTCCCCTGGCTCAGTAGCCTTGGGAGGCTTTGTAAAGAGCTTACTCTGGACTGGCAGGTAGCATAGTGGTTAAAGGCACTGGACTCTCACCATGGCTGACTGTGGTTCAAGTCCTGGGCCTGGTAGCCTCCTTTTTCACTCCCCCCCCTCTTCCTCTCTCTCTGATCAAACAACAACAATAAATAAATTTAAAT